CTTTCAGAACCGGGAGAAGTACCTGCTGCCCTTCCTGTCCCTGCAAGTCATGGACCTCCTGCTATGCGTGCTCACACTGCTGGGCTCCTACATTGAGCTGCCCGCCTACCTCAAGCTGGCCTCCCGGAGGAGCCGTGCTGTGAGTACCTGACCTGGGGAGCTCGAGGGAACCAGAACGGGCCCTGGGCTTGGACTGGTGGGGTGGGAGCTCTCTTGCTAGTTGCTGTCTATGAACAAGTCCCCGAGCCCCTCCAAGTTGCCCCAACTTTCTTCTTCTGTGAAATGCATCTGTATCACATCTCATCGTTATATGAAGAAAACGTGTGCAGGGGGCTCAGCACGTGGTCAGCACTCAGTAAATGCTGCCCTGTGGGAAGTCATCCTGCAGGAAAGGGCACATTCCCCCCGTCAGCCCCAGCCCCAGTTTGATCCCTCCTTTGCAGCCAAGTTGAAAAAAGGGAGAGAAAGGCCGGCTGTGACAAGCCTCCATGGCGGCAGTGCGTGAGGGCTGCTGACAGTCAAGGATGTGGTCCCTTCAAAGTTGCTTTTCCCACGTCCCCTGACTGTTGTCCTAGAAGAAACCAAGGTGCTGTATTGTGGAAGCTCCCTGCCTGTGAGTCAGGAGGCCCTGGTTCTGGACCCAGGCTGGCCACCAGCCCTTGCTGTGACATCCTGGCATCTGCTTCTCTCTGTGTACAAGGGGACTACAGCGGCACTGAGGTTTCCAGCTGAGACAGTTTCTTGGGCAAGGACCTGCTGCATGCACCATGGGAATTGGGTCTTTAACTGCTGGTCTTTATTTGTCCTCCAAAGGGCCCCTCCAGGGTCCCACTGATGACCCTGCAGCTGCTGGACTTCTGCCTGAGCATCCTGACCCTCTGCAGCTCCTACATGGAAGTGCCCACCTATCTCAACTTCAAGTCCATGAACCACATGGTGAGTCCGAGGCAGGAGTCCACACCCATTCACTGGCTATGTGGCCTTGAACAAGTCACTGCACCTTTCTGAGCCTCAGTGTTTTAGGCTGGTTCCCTAGAGGTGGAGCCTGGAAAGAGGATTCTTGTGATTTGAGGGAGCCTGGGAGGAGGATCTAGAGATCTATTGAGGAAAAATCTTAGGAAAAATCTAAGGAGAGAAGGAAGCAGATGTGAGAAAGGGAGAGGAGGCCAGAGTGTGAGTTGTACACAAAAATCACCTTAGTTTTTTACTTCTAACAGATTACCCTAAACATTGTGGCTTAAAATAACAAATATGTATCGCTTTTGAGGATCAGGGATTTGGGGGCAGCTTAGCTGTGTTGTTCTGACTCAGGGTCTCTTATGAGGTTGCAGCCAAGATGCCAACAGGGATGTGGACATCTGAGGGCTTGATTGGGTCTAGAGCGGTGGTTGTCAACCTTCCTCATGGTGCGACCCTTTAATACAGTTCCTGTGGGTCGTGACCCACAGGTTGAGAACCGCTGGTCTAGAGGATCCACTGCCAAAGTGGCTCAGTCTCACGGCTGTTGGCTTTTTGCCTTGATTCCTCGCCACGTGGACCTGAACCAGCACTGCTGAGTCTCCTCCTGACGCGGCTGCTGGCTTCCCCCGAGAGAGAGAACGTGGGGAGGAAACAGCAATGCCTCATCCTGGGTGTTTCATGTTCACTTCTGCCACATTCTATTTGTTAGAAGTGAGTCACTAAGTTTAGCTGACACTCAAGGGGAGAGGAAATAAGCTCCACATTTTGAAGGGAGGAGTCTTAAAGAACGAATAGACATATTTGCAAAATGACCAGTGGTTGTCTCACCT